GACTACGTCTGGCTTGGTTCGCCGAAAGGGGAGTCCAGCGAGTAAGTGATCTTTTTTTAGCCACCACAGTAGATGTTGACGGACATCGTCCAAGACATGGTCTGGCAAATCAATGGGATTTACCTTTAGTGGGGCGGCTTAGCTGAGCAACTGTACACTTTCCTTAAAATCATGAAACTCGTCATGTGGTTAAAGTAACACAATACAAAGATTTTTAGTCTAGGGGCCACCGGAAATTGCACCCCGTATGGTGGCCATCTTTGATTTCAAAATGGCTGCCATTGTGCATCTGTTTTGTTGAATATCTCTATAACTAGTCGAGATATCGAGATAGTCGAACGCCTATACCCATATCTTATGGGTCTAGGAAGCCGATGCTGGCATAAAAATGTTTGAAATTTGTGGCCGCCATCTTGAAATCCAAGATGGCCGCCACCCACAAGCTATTTTGCTTAACAGGTAATAAATAGCAAGGTCTGTTCTCACATTTCAGCAACGAAGACAACATATTTGATACTATCAAATATTATCAAATTTTGATGAGATAAGTAGTTATGCATGTTGTCCTTTTTGTCATTTCGGGGACACCATCCGTTGTTATGGTGACTGCACAAGTAGAGATCAACTCAACATAGGTCCGTTCATCTGCAACTGGAAATGGCAAAGCGCATGAAACTTGTGGATCCATCTGAGCCACATGCTGAAAAATCTCGAGTCATTCAGTAGGAACTCTGCATTCTTTGTCAATAGGAAACCACTGAAAAGGTTCAGTTTCCTAGTCTACGAAAAGATGAACAAGGTGAAGTTTCAGGGTACAGGACACTGGCGGAAAATCTCCTCCAGTTTAATCAGCTCGGTCTGCTACCAAGAACAATAATCATTGAAGCATTGGACAAAGGTCATGGTGTCGAGGCAGCATTCATTGCTCATAATACATGTTGGCATAGGTCCTGTAGGCTTACGTACAACAATACGAAACCGGAACGTGTTAGAAAGGGTCCTAAAGATACACCAGCTGACCATACCGGTGAAGGTTCATCTGGTGTTTCTCAGCGCACACGCTCAAGTTGCATGTCATCAATTCCTCAGGATCTCTGCTTTTTCTGTGGGCAGTCACCTGGAAAAGAGCAACTTCATGAGGTCTCCACTTTCAAAACAGACAAACGTGTTCGAGAGTGTCCTGCACTTCTAGACGACAATGACTTGCTAAGACGTCTGAGTGGCGGAGATATGGTTGCTCTTGAAGCAAAATACCATGCCAAGTGCTTGGCTTCTCTCTATTATCATGCATCCATGGTCTAGAAGGAGAAAAAAAGCACCGAGGACCTCGATAACATGCTTTATGGCATCGCATTTGCAGAACATATATTGAAGAGAGCAATTTGGAGGATGCCACCTTTGCTCCTGTATTTAAAGTAGCAGATCTGTCAAAGCTTTATTCATCTAAACTGGATCAGTTGGGAATTAAGCAGGAAAGCCGCATACAAAAACATCTCAATGATTCTCTCTCCTGCAACAAGTTGCCATTGTTCAGCAGCTCATCAGTAAACACCCAACCTAAAGACAAACAGAAAGTAGTCTCTTTAAACAATGACGTGCAACTGTTTTCCCACTTTTAAATTGCTTGTCAGACGCGGGAGGGAAACGTTGATGATTCTTTCAGTCATGAAAATCAGTCTTTCCCTCCATCCTTGTCCTAGGCAGGGAAGCTTCGAACTGGAACAATGCTTTGAGGAAATGGTACCGCCAAGCACACGGGCTCCAGAGGTTACATGTGTAATACTTGATGGGGCAGCAGTTGTTCAAATGCTAAATCCTGGAACAGCGAAGACCTTCGGAGAAAATGCAAAAGAGGTATTCATCCCATTTGTTCTCTCACAGTACAAATCTGCAACTCGAATTGACCTGATGTGGGACCGCTACCTGCCTGAAAGTCTGAAGAGCATAACCCGAGGAAGGTGTTGAAAGGGAGTTCGTCGACGTATGGGTGCCTCAGTTGCAGTTCCTGGGCAGTGGCAGAATTTTTTTCGTGTTGATGAAAACAAGACAGAACTTTTCAGTTTCCTGTCCACTGAAATAATCAAATCAGTTGCAAGCAAGATCAAGGAGTTAGTAGTCACACTGGAAATAGAAGTTTTGATTGCTCCACCACGCATGCACCTCAAATCACTTGCTCAATGCAGGCAAGAAGAGGCAGATGGCCGCATGTTCCTCCATGCAGCTGATGCGGCACAGAGAGGGAATGACAGGATCCTCATTAGAACCGTTGATACAGATGTTGTCGTACTTGCCGTGACAGCAACTCAGAGACTTTCTGTGAAGATATGGTTAGTCTTTGGAACAGGGAAGAGTTTGCGATTCATCTCTGCACATGACATAGCCACTGCTCTCGGCCCCACGAAGGATGCACTGGTCGGTGCAGGTGTAAGAAGTCTGCACTTCCATGCACATCACTATGTTCTTGTGATGCAACAGAGACTAGAAAAGCAAGGAGATGATTAGCTGTGGTTTTTCAGCATCCGCTTGTGATATTTTCTTCTTGATGGGTCATTCATCCCCATGTTTTGTGCCATGCTATGTTTATATGTTTATGCGCTATGTTTATGTCTCAATATCCCTCTTAGTTAAGGATATATCGAGACCCATAAAATATAGGTATAGGAGTTTCAACTGCATCGATATCTCAACTAGTTATGGAGATATTCAACAAAACAGATGCACAATGGCAGCAATTTTGAAATCAAAGATGGCTGCCATACGGGGTGCAATTTCCGGTGGCCCCTAGACTAAAAATCTTTGTATTGTGTTACTCTAACCATATGACGAGTTTCATGCTTTTAAGGGAAAGTGCACAATCGACCTATATTTTGGAGCTAAGCCGCCCCACTACTGGTAGTAGGAGAGCAGATGGATCTGAAGTGATCTCTTTCCGAGTCTGCACCATGGTATTAGGTCCATCATACTGGCCATTAAGCCGAAAGATGAAGCCAAGCGAGGGCGGATGGTGACTGCGACGACCAAAAAAGAAAAACGCAGTCTTGAAGATTGATTATTGGTTGATCGTCGGCATGATTATAGCCCTGCAGAGATCGAATACCGCCCCTAGATACGTCGGAAGCTCTCCCTTTGTATATGAATCGAAGGAACTTGGGGTCCCGAACATGAATGGGTACGCGTAGATACGCCTCGTGAAGATTGATCAACGAGGCCCAGGACGGAACTGGTATGGATTGTACCACTGTCAAGATAGTTTCCATACAAAAAGGTCTTCTCTGAACAGCGGCAGTGGCTGAAGGTGAGATTTAACTCTCTCGTATGGAATATGCATTGCATCAAGGGCACAAAGGATCTCCTTGTTGAAGTTGGCAGATAGGATATTCAAGCAAACTCTACGAGTGTGCTATTCAGTCCTTCGTCAAGGCCACAAAGTGCTAGGGCTGCAAAATCTGGGGAGACTGGCTGTGTATTCCGGGCGATGTATTCCGACAAAAGGAGAAGAAAGGCAGTGCACAGCAGGGGAATGCTGGCTGGAACCCCATGTGGATTCCTCTTGGCCATGGCAGTCGCAGGGTGTGGCGTACGATAATGGTAGAGCGGGCCCGGGAGACGTCTGTTGGGATACTCTCTCAGGAGTCCCGGCTGGCTTGCCAGGCCAGCGACTGACCAAGGAGACAGGGTCCTTGCCAGATCCTGGCGGTGCCCCTGCTCGGGTCTTTCAAAGTCAACCACAGAGCTTTCCCGTCAGCTCCGTGGGACCGAACAAACCAGGGGCCTGGCCAGATCCTGGCTGGAACCCCCTGGCCGACGGCAAGACCTTTTCCTTGTCTCAGTGGCCGGAGAAGACAGGGGAGCATGAAAGATCTTGACAGCGACCCTCTGAAATCAACCGACTAAGGCGTATAATTAACCAGTAACACAGACAGTTGACACAGGCGTAGGTAACTGCGTAGTACCGACAATAAACACTGCAGGGTGCACATAAGAAAAACAGAAGAAAACACAAAAAATATATACGAAAGAATACTCTTACCAACAAACAGGTAAAATTCAAGAAAATACTTTATTCACAAAGGTGATCAAATCGACACAAAACCGTGTAGCAAACAGAAGCTCTAAAAGCGAAGATGCCTCAAAAGACATGTCTATTACGTTACGGTGCTGAGAAAAGAAGGACGATCATGGTGGCAAAGCCCCGTCTCATTGTGGGAGGTCAGGGTGCACTACACGTGATCAAATCCTTTCAGTGAGCAATAACAGGCGCCTGGGAAATTTGCATATGTAGTGACTGTTTGGGTAGGTAGAGCTCAGTCGACTCGGTGAATATTGACTCTGTGTATGTCCATGTCCCGTACATGTATGTTTTTTTATTACATACCATAGCTAATATAAACCCCCAGCGCATAGGAACCCACCACCCACGCCCGAGATAACATTTGTCATGGAGGTCTCAAGGTCGCCTGTAGTAGTCCTTGTGTGTGCAGGCCTTCGGTGGCCCAACATGGTTTCACAAGTTGTGCTGGGTAGCACCGCAGACCTATCTCGACATCCTTTCGTTTATTTGTTGTTGTTTTTTTTTTAGGATTTTGTGGCTAATCTTTGATTGGAAAACACCCAAACACTTTCTTTCTCACTCACCTAGCAATGGCAACACAGCAATGGCAACACAGCAATGGCAACACAGCAATGGCAACACAGCAATGGCAACATAGCAATGGCAACACATCTGGGATGTGTACGACTGGAAGTTTATTCCTATGCAACAGGATTGATGGTTATGAGGATGATGCTGATAAGCTACATGTATAGCTAGCTGCATTTGGTTGGATTTGCAGGAATGCGTAATGTTAAAGTTTTCTGAACATTGCGGCATAAGGCATGGCACCACCCTAAATGAATAAAAATCAAATAAATAAAAATCAAATAAATCAAAATCAAATAACATCAAGGTGCAGCTTAGCTGAAAAAAATACCGGCACATGTACTTAGTCTAAGCAACTCACCTTGTTGAAATTGTCCAAAGCAGCCCCATTTTCTAGTAATACTTTGACAACTGGTGCATGCAATCGCTCAACTGCCCAATGAAGTGGTGTCATTTTCAACTACACATACAAGTAATAAAGAGACAAGAAATTCAAATAGATGTAAATATATACAATATTAAAATAACACACACCAGTTCAGATGTTACATGTACATATAGTTTTTGGCTATTCCAACACTGCTAAGATGCCATGCACATGTGTACATAATGTGTACACATACGTGTATATGTAGCAGAAACCTTGGACAACTTAAAACTGTCTGAAAAGAATTTTGCACGTTTTTTTTTCTCCCACACATTTTGATACATTAGAGATATCATAAGGCATGTACATGTAAGTGGAAAAAACTGTATAACCACCATTGATTACCACACAGGCCAAAGGATGCACTTACATGTACAAACCTACATTTTACATGTACACATGTATAAGGAAAACTTGTTATATGTTTTGTTATTAAATGTATTATTATTTCTGGTAATGACCCCAAGGATTCCTCAAAAGTGCCCAAGGCACTGTAGCTCGTAAGCCTGAAGAAATCTGCAGGGAGGAGACAATGAGAAGCAGTTATAGTTTAAGAGGTGGAAGGAGAACCACACAGGAATATTCTGGGT